ACTGCAGTGATAATGATAAATCGAAGTGATATTCGGAGGTCGCCCTAAACCTGTCACACTCCCAATCTGCTCCTTACAAAGTCATGTTTTTTTACAAAGCAATCAACCCTGCTCTCAGTCATCATTACACTGCGCATTTATTGCCCTATCTCACAGCTTGCAATGGAGTCTGGGGCAGGGAAAAGGTGCTCTAAAAATTAGTATGTAAATCCTAGCAATTAGCATGAGGGAGAAAATAGGATTTCCATCGGCCAAATGTGTGAATCTGTAGTAATGTGTCAGTAACTTCCAAATCACTGACTGGCCTCTCATCAGTCACCCTGCCATGGGCTTTACACAGTGTCACTCTTATACTGTAAGATGATGAAGAAAGAATAGCTAAATATTACAGAATCTATAATCTATACAGAGCTATTGTCGGATTTTGAGACAAAAAAAAGCCTGTTCTTGTTTAATGTACACAAAAATAAAATATTTCATCAAAGACATGGAAATAAGCAAGTATGATGGAGTGATCTATTTTAGTTAAGTGTGAATGGATTGTAACATTATAGCAGAAAAGGTCCTTACATTAGGATATTGGAAGAGCTGCATACAGAATTATAAAGAGGGATGAAGGTGAATATGAGCTGCTGCCAGGATGAATTGGCCCCCTGTTTGTTGTGTGTTGGCCAGGGGTGTGTGTGAGAGGTGCAGTTGGTCCCAGTGAAGAGGGTGCAATGAACGAGCTCACCTCAACATCCCAGATGCCCTTTTCCTAATGGGAGCTCCTAGATTTACCAGCTTTCTTCTCCCCGTTCTCTCTACTAATAATACACTCTTGAGATCCCCGCTTCTCAGGAAGGACTCTATCCTTCATCATTCAAATGGGAATCTGCTTGGTGTTATTTCTGTTTGATCTCAGCTTAGGCTTCACCCAACATTAGAAAAGCTCTCTCCAGCTGCATGCCTCTGTTGCAGGTTTATTACTGTTTTTTCCAAGTTTTGCTGTTGCAGATAGCTGACCTTTCGTATGTTTGACACTAGGTGTGTTTGATCCTTTACAAAAGCGATCTTGTTTATGTCATTTGGAAACTTTTGAGTGTGCACTGTTACAGTAACATGTAATAAGGCACATTGAGGGGTGTCCGGATGACGTCACACACCACTGCCAAGAAGTTGATGTACACAGCTGATCCCATGCACTGTGGACCCTACAAAGCTTCTTAGCAAGACATGCACACCTGCCCTACTTATTAGATATTTCTCCTCTGTTTCCCCTAATTGCTATTATTAGGAGCATTTCATTTTGGACTGTTTGCCTCCCCCTAGCAGAGTTTTTTATCCTCTCCCTCCCTTCCACTCTCATCTTGTCCCCTCCTGCCCCTTCATTTGCTGAGCTGGTGTGTGTCTGTTTCCCTCCTCTATCAGCAAGCTGTCAATCAGTGCGGCGGCTTCTCTTTCATCTCTTTCCACCGCCTCCTCCCCTACAGCAGACAGAGAGAGAGAAGGGGGGAGGAAAGGGAGAGGGAGGGGGGGCACAGGAGGAGGGGGATGTTAAAGTTACATTACACAAACACACACTGCTTGCCCCTTCACATTTCACAGGGATAACCAGGCTGCCTTCTCCCAATCCCACCCAGAGGTAGTGCCGGAGTTCTGCTGACTTGTACGGTGCCACAGCGCAGGGGAGCGCCACACACACCACCAAGAGGACCTGTCCCAGATAGAGGGATGCACTAAAGCTGGAGTTTGCTTTGGGAGTCCACAAGAGGAGTCCAGGCTCCCCACTTACCAGCCTGTCTCATCGCAGGGGACTACAAGAAGCTTGCACAAGAACAAAGAAGGATCATTTACTTGTGTCAAGATCTTTTATTTTTTCCTTTTTTTTTTTCCTGCACAGACATCCTTCTGGTTTACTCAGCCCTGAGTCATAGGCTGGGACAAACTTTGCTCCTCTCTTAGTCACAGTAACAACAAACTTTTTTTTAATGTTCTTTGTCGCTTTCCATGTGACGATAGAAAGAGAAAAGAAAGTTTCCATGGTAAGACAAGAAGCCTTTTGAAGAGTGAGGTTTCCCCAGGATCTGATCCTCAGCTGTCCATCCATCCACCAGGTTGAACGTCCTGAGCCCTGGATCGTCAGACAGGTAATCTATGCAGAGATTAGCCACCCGGAAGAAGAGGGTGACCTGGCAGATATCAAGTCTTCTCTGGTCAATGAGACTGAAATCACCCCTAGCAGCAACAGCCATGAGGTAACTACAAGTCAGTCTGGCAGTGGGGAGGGTGATCAGTGGGGGGTTCAGTCTATGTGCATTGTGTAGGGTTAGCTCATGCATTGTCCTAGGGAGCATTCAAAGTTCACAGGTGAGAAAAACATCAGCAGCGTGACACAGACCAGCAGGCTATGGTGCCTTTACCTGTGTGCTTTTCTGATGTTAATGTCAGTTTGTCTGGGACTTTGCTTTAGCTCTGGTGCACATCAACGCTACTCTCTACTTGAAGAATATTGACAGTCTACATCCTTTGTGATCAATAAGTAATGCAGAGTATACTGGAGTAAAAGTGCAGCTGTTGTCCTCATTTACCAACCAGTTTTCATCTTCTTCCCAATTAAAGTGACATTAAACTCAGGAGTTAAATCTTAAAAATACATTCAAGTACCTTAAATCTTAACAAAAATGTATCTTATTTGTGTATCACTGAGATGTAGATCCTCAAATCATCTCTGAATTGATGCTGACACTGTCCTTCCGTCTGGAGGGTGGCTAAGTTTGTTCCCCATGGTCCCTGTGTGTATTGTAAAGTAGCCACTAATTAGTCTACTAATTTGCATTTAGGAGTGAGCTTGGAGCAGTGACTACTTTACAACACACACAGGGACCATGGGGGACAAAAGTAGTCACCCTCCAGAAGGAAGGACAGTGTCAGCACTAATTCAGAGATGGTTTAAGGATCTATAGCTGAGTGATACACAAATAAGATACATTTTTGTTATTAGTTAAGATACTTGAATGCATTGTTAGGATTTAACTCCTGAGTTTAGTATCAGTTTAGGAAATTAAAAAAAATGCCGGAGTTTCTTCCCATAGTAACCTGTCATAGAGTGAATGGTTGCTGTGGGTAACAGCATCACATTTGCTCCAGTTTCTATAAATGAGGACCAAGAAATATGGTTGCTATGGACATCAGATGCACTTTTTTTTCCAGTTTTCATTAAGCATCCCCTTCTTTTTGTTTGCAAGGAAGAGAGCAGTCAGAATGCCTAGGCATTAACACAAAAGCTATGGTCTTTAGTAGTGCAGGTCTCACTATGTCACCATTCACTTGATATTCACAATCTGTGTGTAACATGAGGATTTTTAGGCTTCACAGTAAAGTACTTTCCTTGACCTCCTGTAAACTAGGTGCTCCTGTGGCCCTAAACAGCGTCAGGACTACTTTTCATCTGAATGTTGGCATGTGTGCATGGACCACTGGCAGGGTTGTTTTAATACATAAGTGGGCCCAGGTAACAGGTCACTCTAGTGGGCTCTGCAACCTTGGTAAATATTACATCCCCAATAGGTTGTACCCTTTGAGAGGCTTTAACATTTAAAATATATCTAACGCCAAACCTTTTTTTCTTTGTTTGAAGTAGGGGAGAGTTTAATGCGCTGTCATTTTTTTTTTTGCAATCTGTGTCTCATTAGGGAGATTTCCCTTCAGTTCCTTCAGTTCAGTTCCTGTAAATTCAGCAGGAAGTGAGAGAATAGTTTCTAACGTGAGAGAAAACACCCTCTTAGACAGTTGTCACAGTGTCCTGTGTCCCCATTTGAAGATTCCCTCTATTCCTTTTACAGTTGCATCTCAAAAATGAGTATTTTCCCCGACTTTCATTCCTGGTGACATTAATGATCAGTACAATTGGAGAGAGCAAATCTCCTGCACAGGGCACAAACAGCAATTCAAACTCGACAAGGGTTCTAACACCACACCACCAGTTTTGTCTTTATGTAGGATCCCAGCTTTGTTAGGGTTCATACAGCTGTTAGTGTTGATTTTGGAAAGCTGGAATAATTAGGACTAAACATAACATTGTATATATTTTTGTAATGTTACCAAGAATGTTTAATATTTGCAAGGTGAACCGATTTAAAGAGGATGCTTTGATTTCAAAACAAGGGAACCTTTTGGTTTCCTTTAGCTGCAGAGGGCTGATATAGGATCTAATTTATAGAATCCAAGTGCTAACACTTGCAAGTCTCTTGGTGGGCCAAAAGTTCTGATGTGCTTAGGCCATGGGCCGTTTTGGCTGTCTAATAATATGGCACTGATCATGTAAACAGAGACAGATATTTAGGAAGCCAGGAAACAAGCTGTTTGACTTTTGACATTAATACAAAATTTAATACATATAGTCACTTATAAATATACTTACATTCATCAACTTTAGCACATAGTGATTGACAGTGATGACTTTCTATATTGCCAACACAGTGGGAGTGGGTTAAACAGTTCAACTTTCCACTGAGGTTGTGCATCTGAGCATTGCTTGCAGCACGTGGGAAGTATATAGGTTAATTCCTGAGTGACACCAAGAACTGCAGAGCATTGCAATATTTGAAGATCCCACAAACTATGCCCTTTGCTCCATGAGAAAGGGAAGTGGCCCTCCATTTTCTAGTTGCAGGGAGAAGGTCTTGGTAGGTCTGAGATTTCGGCAATGACAGCAGGCTCTCTCGTTGTCTGTTGTTTGTGGTGACATGCATGGGAAGACTTCCTAAAGGTTTGCCAGCAAATCTTTGTTCTCTTTAAATAGCCTATCAAGTTTCAGTTTCTTTAAGTTCCACTTAACCTGATGGGGTGTCTAAACAGAACATAGAATTGCTGGACTGGCAGACCTCTAGTAAATCACCCCAGTGTGTGTCCAGTTGGTAAGATTAGGCTATCAGTAACGCATCCTGGCGCTCTGCCACGTTCTGTTATTACATGCCTTCTTACATTGATGTCCTAACTCTCCTCTTGGCAAGATGCCCACTGACAAAAGTAAAACATTTTGGTTTCATTTTTCCCCCCCCTAAACCAGGTAATGATGTATTTTTTCAATTTTAATTTTGGTGATGCAACAGTGATAATAAACATTGAACATGTCTTATTCTGTGTGACTGCATGTAATGGTGAGACAAAGGGACCCGTTCAAGAAGAACTGAAGTGGAAAACTGAAAGTAGTGAATAGCAGTCAGTCATAATTTAACCTGCAATGGAAAAATGACAGCTACAATGTGGCTAACTTGTCTTTTTGATCTAGCAGTTCATATAAACTGTTCAGATTCACACTAGTGTTATCGACTACCAACAAATTGACAGCCACCAAAATGTCATCTTGTTGTCTTCAGTAAACATAATGCATTGTAAAAAAAATGGTAGACAGTACATAGTACACTGGGCCTAAATGCATGTATTAACCCTTTTTACCCCCCTAGTAGTCCACATGGCCCTCCATTGACTGGTTTTTATATTTATATGTATATAATAAAAACTAGATATCAGACACAGTACAAATATATATATGTATCATTCATTCTGTATAGGTAATTGAATGAAAGAATTGATATCAATACATTGACACTCCCAACAATTGCATGGGACATTTGGGTCTTTTGTCCTTTCTTTTTGCCCTGTAAAATGTCTTTTAAGTTACGTTTTCTATAAAATTAGTCCAGGAGTATAGTCAGTAAATGTTAAACTATTCTAGTAAATGCTACGAGGCTCCAAATTTGTGTTCAATAAAGGAAAAGAAAACAGGATGCTATAGCTGACCACAGTTTTACAAATGAGCTCTAGCTGACCACAGGTCTCAGTTTAACATTAAGGTCAGTCAGCTGGGGTAGGAGTGGTGTCAAGTGCCAAAGGTGCAGAGCTTTTGTGGACTTTATACTTCTTTTAATACTCAATGTTTGCAGCCTAAACAAAGAAAATAATACAGTGTGCATACTCCGGAAGTTAAATCAGCTGTAAAGCTGTACAGTAGTGCCCGTTAGAGACAAGCAGATGTCTCACTGAGGATGGGCAGGCGGTGAAAGATGTGCCTGTCCTTAAACAGCTTGTGCGACACTACAGTCTTCTGCATTATTCAACCAGCGCACAGATGCGGTACATGCTCAGCAAAAGCTTTGCTCCCTTTTTTACTATAGAAAAGAGAATTAATGACCACCAAGTACAGAGAGGTTTTCCAGAATGTCAGACAAATGTTTTTTCTGCAATAAGGATCATTTCCAACAATCGTTGGTGCTCTTTACTCCATCTGCACATGGCTGAATTATTACAATTTGCTCATATCTGTAAAAAATAAGTCAAGGCAACTGGACTTGCTGTATTTTTCTTGAAGACGTTTCACTGGTCATCCAACCAGCTTTCTCAATTCAGAATGACTTGTACAAAAAAAATTCTCTGGGAATAAATATGGTGAATGTGGCTCCAATCCACATATATTGCTCAGATCAAATACTACTTTTATCGGGCTGTGTATCGTCAGCCTAAGGGGTCTTTGACAACAGCATTATTCCATGAGATGCAGCTGATTTAAGCATCTGCTGCAATATTCAAGCAAATATTATTATTGGTTTTTATGGCGTGTTTCATCTACTTTATGTGAACCAGATATAATGTCACTCAAACTGGGTTGAAAAATGGCAGTAGGTATTGGGGTGCAACATACCTATTGACAACATGGAGATCTTTTAACTCTCATCACTGTTGATCAGTGATCTGCCCATCTCAGGCCACCTTAATAGTACCCACCAACATTAGATGATAGTCTTTAGTCTGACCTATTTTTGGCCTGATCAAGAAATGTTTGTTTGTGAGCAAAGTGATTGGAGGTCCGCAAACCTTGCCCATTCGTAGTTGCTTCGGTGAGATAAACTGGTGCTGTGACTGTCTATGTGCACCTCCATGATCGTTCTTCCATTGCCAGACCAGGAATGCTTGTGCTAGAACTCTCCTGTTTAGTGCAAATGCAGACCCAACAGACATTGTAAGACAGCTGAGTAATGCATGTAGCCATTCACAAATGTTTAAGGCCAACTTTAGCTGTTGGAAATATAATTGTTCAGTTATTTAATATGGTCAGATCATGGAAAAGATAAAGGGTAATGTAAATCATAGTTTGCACCAATGAACTTGTTCAGTAAATCAAAATGCAGTAATCCGTGGCAGCTAATCAGCAATCATGGATCATATGGCAGTTCACTCAGATCTAATTGGTTGTTGT